CTCATTTATTAAATGATGGCTGAGTTTCTGTGGCGTTACGGGGCATCGTACCCAGAATGAGGCCATGCATTTGATTTCGGTACTTGAACGCAATCAATCAGTCAATCAATCAATCAGTCAATAAATAAATAAATAAATAAATAAATAAATAAATAAATAAATAAATAAATAAATAAATCTATTTATTTATTTTATTTACTTGTTTTATTTACAGAATACTGCGGTCGGAAGACCAAGCAGGGGGCACAATAAAAAGTGATTCACAATGTAACTTCAATAAAAAGAAAGTTCAAGCAATCAAAACATGTTAAGGCAGTGGAACATAGGATAACATTTGAACAAAGTAAAATGGCAGCAAGAAATTGCAAAATTGCAACCGGAGAATGCAAATCAGATACAACGTGAGACAGCCTGAGACCTTGAGTTGTACAGTTAAAAACGGAAAGATACATAGTTATTAAATCAATCAATCAATAAATCAACCAATCAATCAATCAATAAATCAATCAATCAATCAATCAATCAATCAATCAATCAATCAATCAATCAATCAATCAATCGATCAATCGATCGATCAATCAATCAATAGCGCGCCTATTTCATGCAAGCTATAGGATAAAAGCTGGGCCTGATTGGGGTTTTATGCGATTGATTTCGAAAGAGTGAAGCGCACTGAACTGACTGAAGGTATGAAAAAATTCTACTTTATTTAGACAGCAACATAGCTGAAGAGCACGCAAATGAGTGATTTATTTTCTTATTACATTTCAGCAGCATGTATAGATTGCGGTATAGAAGGAGCGAGGAGAAGAAAAAAAAACTATGCATAATTCTGCCAATCCAACAAGTTTTTCTTTCTTAGACGGGCTTTGAGATTCACAACTCCCGGTGTTCGTCGTCTTGCATATAACGCAATTGGGCAGCCTTTATTAGATTACGCATTCATAATATGATATCTTTTCACCAAAAAAGACATTGATAAAGTAGAATGTATTTGAAAGCGGGTGGTTCGATATATATACAACAGCTTTGAACGCACTTCGATCACAGCCTTGCTAAAAAAAAAAGCTAATCATCCAGTCTTGACACAAAGAACCATGTTTTCAGATTAAAAATTCTCTACCAACTTATCAAGGGACACTACAGTGTTGATATTGATGATGTCATCTCCTTTGCTACAGGTTATATGCTACAAGACAGCGACATGCACTAACAATCACCACCTTCACTACTCGCAACAACTGCTTTAAGGTCTCATTTTTTCCTAGGGTAATAAATGAATGGAATAAACTGTCCAACGATGTGGTATTGCAGCCATCTCTGAATTTGTTCATGTCCCATATTGTGTAACTAGCTTACTTTAATTTCTCGTTGTGTTAATAGCCGTATTTGACGCGTTGTTTCAATTTTACTTGAAGCGTATATCTGCCTAGACTTAGTACCACATGTAGATTGTTTTTCAATGTTTTTGTTTGCCCTACTACTTGTGTAAAATATTTGTATCCCATCCTGCGGAAATCCCTTAACGGTGTTGCAGTATTTATCGATAAAATAAATAAATAAATAAATAAATAAATAAATAAATAAATAAATAAATAAATAAATAAATAAATAAATAATAAAAGATTCCTTGCATGACTCTGTTAATGGAGCAAGTTTGTTGCGGAATCGCGCCGATGAGTGGAGCCAGAAAAAAACTCGTACACACCGCTGCGTCGTAGCGTAAAGAGGGTGACGTAGTAAGGCGTTCGAGAACCAGTCAGCAATTCTGTTTTCCAAGAAGTAGATATCAGTGCCAATGTGCCGCGGGAATTCCAGAATGGAAACGGGCAATCGCGGGAGAGAAAGTGACGACGCGCGAAGATTTTGTCGTAGCAAATGGGTCAAGGAGGAGACAGCGATGCGCATGACACATCTTGGCTTTCCTGCACTGTTCGGATTCGGTAAGGCATTAACATAGCGCCAGAAGCGAAGAAAACTGTCGATAACAGGCCGCCAGGCGAGATATCTGAAGAATCTGATACGAGAATACGCATACAATGGCTACAGCGGATGTCGGTGGCGTAACCAGAATCATACTTTATGTATGTTGTGCATGAATTTATATATATATATATATATATATATATATATATATATATATATATATATATATATATATATATATATATATATATATATATATATATATATATATATATATATATATTCTTATTGTCTTCGGAGACATTCCGTTTGCGTGTATATATATATATATATATATATATATATATATATATATATACACGCAAACGGAATGTCTCCGAAGACAATAAGAGTACCTTTGATGACGGCTTCGGAGTGTTTTTTGTACTGACATACCTTATATTGCGCCTAAAGCCGTAGATTGCAGATAGCGACGACCACGAATTTCTTGGAACACGGACTTCGTCCGTGCACTGCGTTGCGTCACTAACAGCGCCAGAGGCGAATAAAACTGTCGATAACAAGCTGCCAGACGAGATATTTCAAGAAACTGATGCGAGAATACGCATACCACAGAGCGGATGTCAGGGGCGTAGTCAGAATTTTTTTTTGTTATAATACACAGACCATACATCATAGAGGTATGGTCCGTGTATAGCATCGGCGTGATACCTGACAGAGTCGACCTGCGAGACTGGATTAAACGATTGATAGAACTTCTGATTGGAACGTTTCTATAGGCTTGCATGACCGGAATTCGAGGCCACAACTTTAAACTCGGCTGTGTTAGCCAAACAGCAACACTGAGTCCTCTCTGCACGTGGAGGCGGGGCCTGGAAACATCGATATTATCGCTTTTATCAATGCGGCTGCCGCTAAGCGTACAAAGTATATTCTGCAAGACACGTAGGAGCCCAGGTATATTTTGTTAAATGCTCTCGTTATAGATACATAATAGAACCAGTGGGTTCTCGATCGCCCGAAAGAAATCAATTATCTTTTTTTTAATAACGCTGCACGAAATGAGCAGACACTTGCGCAGATTTGAGATACACAGTCAAATTGACCAAATCTGGGCTGCCGCGCAGTTGACTATATAGCAGTTCAGCGTTTGAGTCATCTACACGTGACTACGTTCAAGGTTTTGAGCGCGTGCTACTCGTGCATGCAACAGGTGTGGCGTGTTTCGTATGATGCTGTAATTGTTTCGCCTTCATGTTTAAACTAGCGTCGCCTTCGGAATCGGTATCCGTGTTTGCAAGCGGTTAATGTCAACTCCTGCGCGCTTCGAGGGTCCGCATGCACGACGCGTATAACATGGGTTTCTTGCAGATGACGCACGCAGTACAATTATCAACGATATAAAATCCGGGCGAGCCACTCATCCTGCCACAGAATTAAAGGACACCTTCGGACGGCAAGACCAAATGAAAAAACTGACCTTGGAGCGATGAAAGCGCATGCAGTTAACACGGCAATCATTCGAGAAAATGTGCTAAGAGGAGCTTCGTTAAACCGTGCTTGCTATACCACCTGAGGTTAATATTTAGTAGAAATAAAATGGAACAGAAAAAAAAGAGAAGACCAAGCGGCACCGTGTACGAAATGGTAAACGTTCTTGTGTGTCAATTTTGATTACATTTGAGCGCGCCGGACTGGAGGGGGTGACGCGCACCTGTTAGAAGGACCGCGAAAACAGGCTCTCCCAATGCAACGCGACACTATCCCGGTGCTGCTGTCAACTTCGGCAACGAGAGAGAGAGAGAGAGAAGCCAAGGAGATGCCTCATCATGGACGGCGATCGCGGCTGGCTTTTCTCCCTCTCCTATCACGCGAGCACGTCGAACGCATAAGACGGGATCGACGTGCTGCGCATTGCCAACGAGTCCGGAACGTGGACGGGAAGACGCAACAGTCAGAAGAGCGGCAGGCAGTGAAGAACATCAAAGGGTGAGAGAGAAAGCGTTAGTCTAAAGTGTAGGCAAGAAGCTGCAAAGAAAGTGAGAGAGACGCACCAAAAGAACACAAAGAAGAAATTGACTTTGAACTCGTCTACCGCGCCGAATTTCTGATATCAGGGCAGTGTATAGCGAGGCGCCAGGGATGCGCTCTTTCTTTTTGTCTCAGAAACCGCATGCCCAGGGAACATGCTTTGCCCTCGCCCTTCAAAGGTAGGTTAGGGTGGTGCATATGCAGGCTTTTCTTTCTTTTGACTGTTTTAGGTTACTCTTTTTTAAATGATGTGAGCTTCCAAGTGTGGCAAAATAGAATAATCTGTCCAAAGAAGTCAAATAAGAAGCGGGAGAGAAGAGTAATACGGAGAGATGTTGGGCGATAGCAACTGGAGACCGCCCGTAGAGTGTGGAACCCCTCCTCGCCCGGAGACTATATAAGGGTCTAACCGGCATCGGCCACGTAGCCAGTCTGGTACCCACCTTCCGGAAGCTGGCTCAGATGGTGGACGAAATGATCGGAGTGAGTTGGAAAGCATAGCGCGAGTTGACCTCTGGGAATCTTGCATATTGCCACGAGACTTCAGAAGTGCAGGAGTCCTTTAGTTAGCCATGATGTAGCCAGCTCTCGAAAACCACAACCGTCGCGGCTGGCTCTCGAGCGAAGAAGACGCACGCGATCTTTTTTCCTTTTTTTAGAGCCACTCTTGTTCTCAAGTCATTACATGCAGGTGGCATTATTCGGTTGTGTAAATAGTTCTACGAAAAGAAGTAGTAAGATGACAGCGTTAAGTGAGTTTTCGCGAACAGCGGTCACCATGAATGTAGTTTCTCACCCTTTATTTTCGGTTAAAAACGTGATATGAACTATGATAATCTTGAGATAAACAGGAGAATGTGACAAATGTTAACGGCTCGTAAAGAATTTACTGCTGAAGTAGACGATCGCTAACAAAGCCAAAAGTAATCGTTCATAAGGCTCTAGAGTCCTCAGTTATAATAATTAGAGGCTTCGTGTCCTGTAGTTAAAGATAACAGTTTATGCTTTGCTTCATATTGGTGTTTTTTTCTGCTTGTCTGCAGATATCAGCGCTTTTGCTGCTGTCACTGGCATCCAGTGCCATCGCCGGAGATTACCACACCAGCGTCACTGAAACAGCTGCCCTCCATCAGCGTGTCCCATGCCGACAACACAGCTGCTGTGACCACCGGCCATGCAGCTCTGACTAGTGTGCAAGGTGATGTTCATGCTGGTGTGCAGGCCATTACAACGGGCACGGCTCCAGGTGGTTCTGTACAGGTGGCACCAGCAGCCACGACTGTGCATGGCGACTCGACAGTGACGGCTGTTCACGGTGACAGTACAGGCGTGACATCCGTTCATGACGTGCCGGCCGCGCACGCTCTTTACGGCGCTCCTGTTTTCGGCACCAAGCCCACTTCGGTCTCCGGTGCACCGGCTGCTGTGAGCACCAGTCATGGTGCCTCGACGAGCGTCACCAACGTGCACGCTGCTCCAGCTGTATCCACTCCGGCCATCGGGACGCTGCAGACTTCTGTGGTAGGCATCCCAACTCTGGGCACTGCTCACGCTTCGCCGACTGACACGACCACAAAAACCGATGCATCGGCTGCTACAACAGTGCAAAGCTCTCCAGCTGATGCTTCCAAGGTCACTACCACTACTGCGTATCCTGCGCCTGTGGTGCCAACATACCAGGATCCCTCCGCTTACCCAGTTTACTACAATCCGCAGCCAGCGTTCAATCCGTACTACCAACCCTTCCCCTTTGTCAACGCTGGTGGTGCATCGGGCTCGAAGACTGTCTACGAATTACCATACGTGCAGAGCGTGTATCAACCTCCTCAGAGTAACGCGGGATACTATCAGCCATTCCCTTACTCAGGTTATGTGCCCGGATTTGGTAGGCCATCAACATACCCGACGTCTCAAGTGTTTCCTGCCTACTCTGCGTCACCAGCTACGGAAGCCCACCACACTGGCTCCGTGACTGCTATGAAGGATCCGTCCGTTACCAAGTCTACAATGATCGGCAATTACCAGGCTTCTCCCGTTGCTTCACTTATGTACCGCGACTCCGCTCCAGCTGTCTCGGGTGATCACATGACACCTGGAGTCGCAACCGCGCACAACACGTACCAGGCTGCTCCAGGTACTGTCATGGTTCACTCCACCCCGAGGCACAACGACTGCACACTCAGCTCCAGTCGTGAGTGCTGCTTCGCCCACCTACATGGCTGCTCCCGAAGCTGGTTCCCCTCACACCGGTCAAGTTGTGGCCTCCACTTACCAGGCGGTTGACCACACCGTTCCCAACATTCACCAAGCTCCAGCTGTAAGCACCTTTCCCGATGTCCAAGCATTTCCATCCTACCACACTGTTCCCGCAGCGGCTCGAGTGGAAAAAGTAGACACGTACCAGCCGTCCCAGGTCATTGGCGCGGTTACACCCGTTCACGTCATCCGTTACCTCTGTTCACGAGGCCGCCCCTGCAGTGCCTACGCTGCACTCAGCAACTCCAGCTGTTGCCACTGTTCACTCGACCACTCCAGCAGAGACAGCTGTTCACGAGACTGGTCCTGCCAAGGGCAGCTTGCATGTCGCTTCACCAGGAGGGACTACGGCCACATTTCACGAAGGTGCCCCAGCTGTCGCGACGGCACACACCACCGCACCTGCCGTGACTGGTGTTCACGAGCTTGCTCCATCTTTGGCTAGCGTCCATGCCACCCCAGTAGCTTCACTGTCACCAGCTAGCGTAACAAGCGTCGGCGCACATCATTTTGTTCCATCCGTGACCACTGTTCCTGGTACCAGCACTGGACTCCCCGCGCCAGAGGCTATCCACACAGCTCCTGCGGTAGCCACAGCGTATGGGGCTGGCCCGACGTTGACGGGTGTCCATTCTGGCCAGCCCTTCACTGCAGGGGTACGGCGTTGAACCAGCCTTTGACCATGTTCCTGCGTATGGTTATGGTGTGCAAAACCTCGGTTATGGTGTGGCTCCCTTTGCTGCTGAACTTAGCTACGCGTTCCCACACTACGGGCTCAACTACGCCTATGGCCTTGGCCCCATCGATTACAGCACACTACTCCTCCGTCGTAGAAAGAAATGTAAGTATTGCAAGGTGTTGTCGAAACAATGACGTTTTCTCATTCTAGTGTAGCGATGAAACATGCAGTATATATATATATATATATATATATATATATATATATATATATATATATATATATATATATATATATATATATATATATATATATATATATATATATATATCACCGTAAAACAGGCAGTTTTTCTCGAAGGTTCGCTCTTCAACTGATTGGAAGAAGCTCACCTATCACTGCCTGTGAACCAAAACATTCCTAATGCGATAGAAATGTTCAGTGTTGTGCCAAGACTTTTACTGCTGAGATACGGCGCATCATGTGAGACAACTGTTACTGAGTAGCAGAAACAGTACCATGGCAACTACATAGTTTTCCTCAACGCTGGTGTCATGCTCGTAGATGAACATATCTTCGGATCTTGCGCGTGCGCAGTTAGGGGTGTCACCATGACTTCACCTTTGGGGAGTGTGACACGAGACTAAATGAAAACCATTAGTATTAGCATAAAGTTGCATTCCTGTGAACTGAGCCCGCAGCATGTGCCACAGTGTGGTGTTTTCTGACCATGACGTTTATGCCCCGTACTTGTTGGGTGTGGCTGACGTTTCTGTCATGCACACCGATAATGCTAATGACGAATTGTTAATTCAATGTTACTGCCCTTTCTAATGTTATTCACCCAGACGTCGTAAGATACTTTTTTCAATACCTTCCCACTAATGTTATGTTATTGTTATACCCTCTGTTATGCCCATTAATGTTATTTACCCAGTCGTCGTATAATACTTTTTTCAATACTTGCCCACTTTACTCCTTCCTTCCCATTGTGTTTTGCAGAAACCAAAAATGACATCTACCATCGAAGTCATCCAGATCATCCCGCATTTCACCGTACAGTCTTCAACTTCTTGGAAGAGGCTCACCTATCACCGCCTGTGAACCAAAACATTCCGAACAAGAGCAAAATATGCTGCTAGTGGTGGTTGAATAAATTTTTACCATATGTGATTCATAGATTCATTTTCCCATTAGGTTTGCCAAAGCTAATTTCAGAAATTGTGATTTATTAAAATGGAAGGAAAGAGAGGTTAACCATGGACAGATTCGTTTAGCTATACGACGATTGGGGAGAGAAAATTAAAAAAAAGGATTAGAATAGGTAAATAATAAAGTCGCGCATTGGGGACACATTTGCAGAGGAACATTCGCTAACAGACACAGTTACTCCTACCATTTGGCTACCTTCAAGAATTTCATCCGTTTTTGTAGTCTTCTGAATGAGAAGTTTCAGGCCTAGGTAGGACAGAATGAGTATTTACATCCGTTGTTCCTAAAATAGTAGTCGTGTACAAAGCTCCAAGAAACAAGAAACATGGCTTTCTCAGCACCGCTTGTAGACATGTTTAAAAGTCGCTTTGAGATTCGCTGCTTTGGGTCAGAGGCTACGGCGATATGCTTCAAAGTTAGACGTCATGGGTTCGATCGAGGCTGCCCTCCCCCCCCCCTTTTTTTTTTCCACACTACTATATACCATGCTTGTGTATTGTATTCAGGGGTGAATTGCAGAACCTCAGATGGCCACAATTATTTTGAAGTCCCCTTCTTCCCCCAAATCCGGCATGCCTAAAAATATAATACAAAGTAATGACGTTGGCAATGAAATCCCAGGATTGAATTTACGTCGAGAGCCAAAGTACATTCCTTTTCATTTGGTTTTCGTATTCAAGAAGGTCTCTTCGCAGGTTATGCGCAGCTGTGACTCATGTTTGCTTTCAAATAAATGCGTTTCACGTGCCACAGTTAATGAGGGGATTGCGAAGTTTAGCTGTTGTGAATTCCAGAGTGAATTTGATGTTACGATGTACTTGTTCAGGAGGCTTGTGCAACGTTGAAGCTAAATGCACGCGGGATGACCTCACTGAGAACACGAGGGGTAATAAAAGGGAGTTATTATGAATTAAGTAAATACAGGAGAAGCGATGGCAGCGCCCCAGTGGCATACGCAAACGTTTTCTCCAGAGGTGTCATGGCGGCTGCATTTAGATGGCGGCGTAATGTAAGAGGCCAGTCTACTCGCACTTCAGCGCACGTTATATAGAAGTGCAGGTCGTCCGAATTTTCTTAGCCTTCCACTACAGCTTCCCTCAATCATATCACGGTTTCAGGACGTAGAAGCCTAACAGTAATTACAGTATTTCTATTGCCTAGTGCTCCTACATCGCTGGTGACGAATTTGGTGTAGAGCAGCTTTAATGTCTAAACTTTTGCATCATAATAACGATTACTCACTCTCTCTCTTTCACATTTATGAAGTATGGTACGGTGAGTGTATCTTGAACACCTCCAAAGGCCAAACTGAAATACCCAGGCAAAGCGAGAGAGAGAGAGTGTGTGTGTGTGCGTGTGTGTGAATAAATGATGGGCTGCTATTGTTGAGCAAATATAAAACTAATACGAGATTTTTCTCAAGTACGTCATTCAACTTCGAAATTGTACGAGCCGCCACAGCAGCAGGAAAAACGGCGAGACGAGCACAACGCTTAGGCGGCTAATAACTGCCAGGCACGGAGCAGATCCTGATGTGATGGTAAATGTGAGTGCCAGAAGAAAAAGGTAAACCCTAGAGAACTGTGAAACCTTGGAACATCCTTACCCAAATCCCGAAGCAACATAATTTTGAATTGAGCTTATTCTTGACAAAGAAACGCTTCTGGTACAAGCACACTATTTTTTTTTTCAATGCTTTAGCGCACGTATTACGGGCTGCGTGGGCTATAGGTAGTTTCCGTTTTGCTGCCGGCACTGTTGAAGTTGAACGTGAGAGAGTTCAAGATCATCTCGTTTTAATGAACTGAAATTTGGCAATTGGTTTGAACCGTCGATCATAAGAGTAGATTTTCCAATTTTTCATAAGTGTGCAAATGATTAGGCACTAATTTTGAGCCGTTTGCTTGCTCAACATTTTGAAATCGATGCCTAAGATGGTTAGTTTTGACGGCTAGCTCAGACATAAAATGGTTAGAGGTTAACTGATCGCCTATGTATGCCTGAATTGGTATGTTTGTATATGTGCACATTATTAGGGTGCATGTGAACTTTACACATGTATGCTTGCAGGACGTGGACATATGTTTATAAATTTAGAAATCTAAAATAATTCTCCGATTTGTACTCAAACATGAAAGAGGTTGAACATTTCTGTTTTTATCCCACATTTACAGCGTCTATCCATTTGGCTTATTGGCCTATATCCCGTAATCTTACCGTGAGAGGTTGCATGCATTTTGAACATATTATTGATTTGTTTCTTGCCATGGTACTCTAGTCTACATCGTAGAAGCATAATTTTACATATTGCTCATTACACGTTCTTATGCATAGGAATCAGAAGTAAATTTCCGGAGCCCTCCACTACGGCGTCTCTCATAATCATATAGTAGTGGTTTTGGGACGTTAAACCCCACAAATCAATCATCATCATCAACCAAATCACCAGGAATCAGAAGTAAAACGTATGACCTTCGATTAATTATAGGATGCAACGGGAGCTAGCTGGTACGTCTTCATGATGTAAATATGACACGGGCTGGTATACATTGACTGCATAAACCGGCGCTGGGTTCCCTTCGGGGTGGGCAAATGTTTATCGCGTCCCCCCCCTTCTCCTTCTAATAAAGCCAAGGTATGAAGCAGGCCTAGATAAATGTACGGGACACAAGTCACCACAGGGGGCAAGGCACTTAGAGCATAAGGGACCATGCTTCCTGAATTTCGGCAAGCGCAGCCATATTGACGCAGTGAGTTTGACCCCATAGAACATTTGAAAGAGTCGCGAGATGTTCTTTTTCCAGCCCTCCATTGTACATCGTAAAACAAGTGCTTGGCATCGCAGTGCGGTATATTACCACGCTCCTTCACTTCATCAAAGCGCTAAGTCAAAATAGTTTGCGTGCGCGTAGCGAATGAGAAACAAGTTCAAGGGCACCAAGTAACGAAGCGTTACATTCTATATTTTTCGCCGCTCTCCGATACCGCTTTCTTAGGAACTACAGCGCTTGACCTTATAGGTCATGTCTTCAAATGACAGCAGCCTCAGGACAAAAAAAAAAAAGAGCCACGCAATAAGTTTACTCATATATAGTTAATTGGCTAGTCGATCTTGTATCGCGAGCAGTAGTCATAAAGCTGATCTAGATCTCTGGGTCATACGTGTCTATGGCGCCATCACATCGACATATTTTTTTTTTTTGCAGCTGATTGAATGACGCGATCATCTTGATTGATTTGTGGGGTTTAACGTCCCAAAACCACTATTTGATAATGAGAGACGCCGTAGTGGAGGGCTCCGGAAATTTTGACCACCTGGGGTTCTTTAACGACGCGACCATCTTGTGGTTGCCGTTCAGGGGTTACGTTAAAAAAAGCGGAGGTGATTTAAGGGCGTCACTCTGAAATAAAATTCATCGGGGATCAGAACGCGTGTACAAATAATATACCACCTGCGTGTGTCTAACGGAGGTTTACATGCTTTGATGCAAGTCTGTTGTGTAGCGATTAAAAGTTGTCGTAAGAAGATGAAATAGCTGGTGAAACTGACGTAGCTGTGGCAACTGTTTCAAGTTCAGCCGTACCAAGCTATACAGGAAGGGCACATGAAGAGTCGGTGGCTTGGCGTTGGGCTACAACGTGGCGTAGCTGGTGGGCGGGCTGTGGTCGAAAGCTGAGGCCCCCCCCCCCCCCCTTTTTCTACCTTTCCGAAATAAAATTTGGGTGCAACACTGTGTCACAACGATCTACTTCCTGATATTTAAGCACATCAGCACTGCGGCAGAAACACTGCGACTTGGTCCTTCATGCCGTAATAAATTTATGCAGAGACGATAGTACGTTGCACCTTGGTGGCCTGAATATTTTTACTAGGTGCACTAATAGTTAGCTCATCGTTCAATATGGCACATGGTTACATTATTAGGATGTAAATTTATCGACTTTATATGTATTGATTGGTACTTTAATAATATGCTACTAACACTCAAGAGGAAGGTATATAACAGCTGCATCTTGCCGCTACTTACCTACGAAGCAGAAACCTGGAGGCTTACAAAGATGGTTCAGCTTAAATCTAGGACGACGCTGGAACGACGATGGAAAGGAAAATGATAGGTGCAACCTTAAGAGAGAAGAAGAGAGCAGAGTATGTCAGGGAACTAATCGGGTTTAAGGATATCATGATTGAATTCAAGAAAAAGAAATGGACAGGGGTCGAGCACGTAGCACGTAGACAAAATAACCACTGGTTAAAGGTAACCGACTGGGTTCCCATAGAAGGCAAACACACGAAGGGGAGATAGATAATTAGGTGGGCCGATGAGATTTAAAAGTTTGCAGGTATTGATTGATTGGTTGATTTTATTAGATTGATATTGTAACTAGCAAGGACGACTATACAGCATGATGGCCAGAACAAGAAGACCTGTCGGTTTATTCAGTCACTGATTATATAGGCGCACGATAGCGCGCCGTGAGTATCTGCGCATGTCCGATGCGCAGTCGTGATGCAGTAGCCTTGCCGGATACATCCTTTCCGTTAACAACGAAATTACATACCCACCGAAACAGTGGTAAGTACATGGCATTTCAAAAAATGATATCATACACTTGGTCAAAGTCCTTGTCATAATGAAGACGCTGTGGTGGCTTCACGGTTCGAGTCGACCTTCTCAAAGCTGGCGTCGGTGGTGAAATTGACTGACGCACCACAGGTGGTGAAGGGTCGCCCGACGTCGGAACTTCGCGACGTCAGCCATTGGCTGGCGAGGTTGAAGTTGCCACTGTCGGATGGCCACCAACGTTGTTGTCCGCTGGGCTGGTATCAATGTCGTCGTCGCTTTTCTCGATGAACCGTTCACCAGTTTGAAGTAGGTGACGACGGTTGCGCCTTAACAGCTTCTGGTCCGCGGAGCCCCAAGCGTTTTATTGCATGTGAAGGCTTGTGAAACTGGTCACGT